CCTGGCATGGGATGACAAAGGCAAAATGAATGGAGTGGCATGATGTGACTGTTGGGAATTTTTTAATTCACTCTTGGGGCACCAGAATAATACAAATAACAATGCTAATTTTGACCGTGTCCAGAATAGTCATCACCTTATCTCCCCCAGCTGAGAGGGGAGGATTAAATAAGCCCTACAATGACCTCCACAAGCAATAATTATGAAATAAATGCTAATTAAGTAACTTGGCCTCCTCTGGGAGGATGGCACAGGGCTTGGGGCCGTGCGTTCCCATCTCCGCATCACCTGGAGCTCTGCCCGTGGCGATGTTGTGAGTGGAAAATCCTGATGCAGCTGTGGATGGTGTTTTGGAGCAAATCTGTGCTCATGGCAACGTCCGCCCCTGGTGCGTTTTTGCCGGGATGTGGCCCCATGTGCCCCTTCCCAGTGCTGGGAGCAGGGGAAAGCTGCTGCAAACAGGGAAAGCCGAAAGCTCTGGAACCCACAGTGGGTCACAGAGAGGCACACGGGATACCCTGGCTAGTGCTGGTTTTGGGAAGAGGCCGTTGCTTGGAGTCCACTTTCCAGATGTAGACCATGTTCTTTCCAGTGTCACAGCGTGAGGATCACCCCTGCCCGTGGCTGGAGGTGACCCTCAATGGGCCCCCAGACCAGCCACCCCTGAGGGTGCAGTGCTGTCTCAGGACATGGCTGTGAAGGTAAGACCACCCCAAATTCCCCACCTGATGTTGCATTGGTCCCTAGACCCCTGGGGACCATCCCCACTGGGGCCATGATTGAGAAAACAGGGATTACCCTCCCCAAAAAAACAAACCCAAGGGTCCCTTTACCCCATGGCAGGTGTCAGCCATCCCATGGGTTGTGCATCCACACTTCCAGTGGCCTCAACGGCCACAGGACCACTGAGACCCTTTTCCCCCAGCATCTCGTGCTCATGTTTGCTTTGGCGTTGGCTAAACTACCACTGAAGTATTTCCAGTTGTCACAGCAAGTGGGGGTGGAAATGCCACTTCTGAGGGGTGAGTACCTCCAAAAACATCTCCCTGTGCCGGGGCGTCGCAGCACGGGACAAGCACGGAGCGGAGCCAGCCCTGCTGGGAAGGAGCGAAGAAGGGTCAAGGACAAGTTAAAATTGGAAAGAAAACTGAACATGCTGTTTTGCAGGACCTTGCTTGCTCTCATTTGCCAATTTTTTTTCCCACCCTCCCCTTCCCATTGCCAGCGGGGCAGTGTCACCGTCTCCCGTGGCTGGTGAGGGCAAGGGGGTCAGTGCCAGCCAAAATTGTTGGGAAGAGCCACCAGCTCTCGGGGGCTCTTCTTGGCAGCCTCAACCACAGCAGGTCCCCTTTGCACTCGCTGTCATATTTTAAATCTCCTTGCCTCTGTGTTACTCCTCCCCATCCACAGATCTGAGCGTGCCGCACATTTTTGTGCTGAAATTCAGAGCTGGACTCTGCCAAGCATGAGTCTGGGTTGTGTAAAGAGCTTCATCTCTTATTTTTGGGTTTCCTATCCCTCCCTCTCCCCCAAATAAGATTTTGGAAAAGCAACGTCTGAGAGCCCAGAAAGACCTGTCAGCTTTTATGCTTCCCACAGCTTTGTTTTTGTGGGTGTGGGTGGGGTTGCTCCCCATGCAGAGGCTTTCAGAGTACCCTCTCTGTGCTCCAGCAGCTCCTCCATCCTCTGTGTCTGTATCCCAGCTCAAAGCAAGGATGCACTCACATTTTCAAATGTCTCCCTTAAAAGTACCATTTTTTTGCAGGCTGAGCCTCTTTAATGGGCAGGGGGAAGGAGCTGCTTTGGCAGCTGTGGACAGAGCCCCGTGCTGACCCTGTGCAGAACTGCCAGGGATACCCTCAGAGGGTCACCAGCCCTCACTGCCCTTGGCACCTGGCCCAGCTGGGGCTGGAGATGCTGGATGAGGCCAAGACTGGTGCTGGGGACCAGTCAATGCCAGCTGACCCAGGAGAGCATTTGGGCAATCGGGTCCTGGGGCTTTGCAACCCTGGACACAAACAAATTTTAGGACCTCTTCTGCTGTTGCTGCTTCCATATTCCCCTCTGCTAGGCTGTGGAGCTTGATGGGCTCATTTTCTTTATCTCTACCTGGTTTCAGAATCAGAATCACCTAGTCTGGGGAGAAAGGAACCTTAAAGACCATCTTGTTCCAGCTCCCCTGCTGTGATCAGGGCAGCTTCACTGGACCAGGTTCTCAAAGCCTCATCCAACCTGGCCTTGAACACTTCCAGTTTTACCCTCTGTGTCCCTTTGTCCCATTTGATCCCTTGTTTTTGTGCTGCTCAGATCAAGGCCCAGCTCAGCACTGGGCCCAGGGGAAGCCCATCCTCAGTGCCCAGGACCTGCTGCGAACAAGCTCAAGCTGCCGCTGCTCCTCCAGCAGCAGCTGCGGTCTTTGCACCTCCTCGGTCCAGGCAGAGCACCCCCAGGGCCTCCCGCCTGCTCTGCTTGCAAGTGACCAAAGAGATACAAGAGTTACTCAGAGGAAATGACTGTGGGTGCACTGACACCATCATACGAGTTTGTGTCTGTGGGAACCCGAGATAAAGCAGCCCCGAGGTCCCTGCTGCGTGTGAGTGTCAGTGCAGCGGGTCACGGGACCCCCCCAGGAGCTGCTCGTTACGCAGTAGGCTGATCAAAACCTCTTCCCTCTAATTCTATTTTTATTTTTCACTTAGGTGGTGCAGCTAAATATTTATTATCACAGCAAACAGAAAACAAGCTCTGGCCTGGCATCAGGACAGCCCAGTGTTTGCACCACAACTGAAAGCATCACAGCCCCGTGACCTCAGCATCTCCAGGCTGGCGACTGTCCTGTCTGGGCAGGTAATTTAACAAGTGAACAGCCCCAGCAGGGCGCTGCCCCTCGATAACCAGCTGGCAGATGCAGGGAGGTGTGTTAACTGGTACACCAACCACCTGGCACCACCAAGGCCCCATTGCAGGGCCATGTAGGTAAGCAATGCCAGCCCAAACCTGCTGAATTTCCTGTTATAAAGTAATGCAAAGAGTGGCAATCCCAGGGATGGTGTGGCCATGTGCAACGGGGATGTGCAAGCCCACAAGGGTTTAAGCTGTGGGGTTTTTTTTCAAACATTTGGGTGCTGTGGCCAAGGGGGTGTCTGTGCTGGGTGCTGATATCAGCCCAGAAGGAGACCCAGGCCCTGTGGGTGCTCCCATGGTGGGGTTCCATGCCCCCAGCATCGCTCTGGACACATCCACAGGGTCTGGCCCCACCCGCCAACTGCAACACAGCTCCAAGAGATTATAAAATGGGAGATGCCTGATATCTCCCAATGGAAAGTATTTCAGCTAAATCCATGCTCTAACCATTTTATTGACTCCAAGTACCAGTGAGGAGGTTAGAAGTGGCTCTTTTACAAGTCATTTTGCTGTTAAATTTAGCTGTCCTATTTTCATTATCCCCATGGCTTTGGCAAGGGTGAGCAGCCTTCCCTAAAAGGCCTCGTTTCATACAGTAAGTTATTTGCTTCTCTCCTGACAGATATCTAAGCTTATAAGGTTTGTCTGCTCCACTCAATAGCAGTATCAGCCTTCAATCTTGTGTGATTAGCATCAGCATTTCACATTTGCTTTTGGCTCCCTGTCTGACAGCTTTCCATGTTGCTGAGGGCCGGGGCGTTGGGATTGCATCACGTCACTTGCAACGTGGGATCATCTGATTTTGATTCCCATGCTTCATGGTACGCCCAAAAGATTTGGACAACTGGTTCAGCTGCTTTTCCCCCAGTTTCCCCTATTGGCCAGCAAAGATAATCGATTTGTTCCACTCACTTTGCGGCTGTCAGGTCTGCAATAGATTGAGTCGAAAGGTCAGCGTGGCAGCAAGCGAAGGGCGGTTGAACTTGAGAGGTGGTGATGCTAAAAGAAATGTTCCAGAAAGGAAAGATTTATCCCAGCAGGTTAAGCTTTTCCATATTTCCAAACCCGTTTCCTCCTGCAGGGAGGGCCCTTGTCCCAGGCTCGGTGGCTGCAGAGAGTCAGCGACTCCTTCGAGGTCACAGGAGGCAGAGATGAACTGGGGCTCATGGGATGGAGCCTGTCCTTGCAGGGAGTGCTGAAGTAGCTGGGCTCTGAGATTTTTTGGGGAAAAAATCCTCTTTTCCCCAAAACAACCCTGCTCAGTCTTTGTATTCCCCTCCTCAGCAAAGAGCTCTCCCCTGCGGGGCTGTGCCCTGGTGCTGCCTGATGGGATGCAATGGGGACACAGGGTCCCCCCTCCACAGCCTCTGTGCTTTCCTCCCTCCCTCACCCAAACTTCCCCCTGTGGTGATGTTGGACCCCAAATTTCAGTCTGGCACGTTCAAACCCAGCCCCTTTCTCGGTGATATTTGCTTAAAGTGGTGCCTGCTGAGCATCCCTCACTGTGACCCTGGCTTGCCCGGCCCTGCTCCCTGCCAGGCCTTTCAGGAAATGCTGGGAATGCTGAAAATGCTTCGAAATGCGCCCAGCCCAGCCCAGTGCAAGTGCTGGGAACCAGCCAAGCCCCAGCTGTTCAGCCTCACCATGGGAGGGGGCCAAGATGGGCACCCGTCTGCCCGTGGGTTGGCTCTGAATTGCTGGGCTGGGGTTTCTGTGCCCTCCCTCCTCTTTCATGACCCTTTTTCTGGAGCAGCCTTTGGGGGACAGAGTAGGACATGGGTTTGGGACACTGATGGGAGACCCAGAGCCTGAAGTGGCTGCTGGTGTAGAAAAGATAATACTCCCATCCCAGTTCCTAAAATCCTCTCCCAGGACCCCCACCATCTCCATCCCGCTGTTGGTCCCAGGAATGCCTCGTGCTCATCCCGAGCCCTGCCCGCAGCCCCTCCATCCCCAGGGAAGGCCCTGCCTGGGCGAGGGTGCATCCCCTGCAGGCAGACAGCTTCATCCTGCTGGCACGTGGGCTCTGCAGCGGGGTGGCCCTGCACCCTCCCGCACCCTGTCCCACCCCCGGACCATGTAGGGCACCCGCTGCTCCCAGCCCAGAGCTTATAGGAAGAGGAAGCCCCATCCCCGCGCAGAGGAGGAAACCCGCCAGCCCAGATGTGCACGGAGCCACGCCGATAGCACTCTTACTTCGTTGGGTTTTTTTTCTCTCTGCTCTGCAAACAGAGGAGCTGCCGGGCCAGCGGTGGGCACAGCCCGCACAGCAAACAGCGGGGCTGCCGGCAGGCTGCGGCACAGCCCTGGCGCAGCCATGGGGCAGAAGTGCATGGACAAGGTGTCCTCCTTCCTCTTCGAGTACGACACCCCTCGGATGGTGCTGGTGAGGAATAAGAAGGTGGGACTGACCTTCCGGCTGATCCAGCTCGTTGTCCTGGCGTACATCATCGGGTAAGGCTCCCCAGCGCCCGCCTTCCCTAAAATCAATGCTTTGCCACTGGGTTAAAAAGCAACGGAGAGGAAAAGGCTCCTATATCCCCCATATCCCAGGGCAGGGGGGGTCATTGCTGATGGCATCGCATCCCTCTGGCCGTGGCTGTTCCCGTGCAGCCCAGTGTCCCACCGTGGCTCTTCCAGGTGGCTGCTTGGTCCCCACATCCTCCCCAGAAGCTGCAGCGTGTGCGGGCTGGAGGCTCATCCCTGCCCAGCCCTGCTCCGCACGCCGGGGCCCCGGCTCCTCGCTGAGCCCCGTCCAAATCCTGCTCGAGCTGCTGGACGGTGGCCTGAGAATCTGTTGTTATTTTTATTTTCATTTATATTAAATAAGAGGCATGTGGGGCCAGCGCAGTGATTTGTGAGACCCAAGCGGCTCGAGACAGGGCCATAAATCTCCCTGTCCACCGCCCTGGCGCTGGGGCCGAGACGGAGCCTGGCTCCAAATTCCTGGTCTGCTTTGCTTCTGGGAGGCAGCTCCAAGAGCAGCAGCGGTGCAAGGGCAACTGGTTAAAAAAGGCATCAAGTGGAGCGGGTGGGATCAGAGCTGGATGAGGATGTGTATCCTCAGGTGCCCTGGGGCTGCTGCTCCTGACACAGGGATTGGGTCCTTGTCCCCTCAGGGTGGGATGATGCAGCGTGGTATGGCATGTGATGGCTGATAAGTCTTTGCTGTGGCCCCATGGCTGCTGTGGGCTCAGTCCTTCAGCACCCCTTCATTGGGAAGGGCCCCATAGCAGGAGGTTTGAAGGGAGTGGGGGTGCCTGGCCATGAACTGGAAAATCTGGGTATTTTTGGGGTGCGGGGTGTCTCATGTAGCACAAAGGAAAGGCAGTGGATCCCAGGGCTCAGTGCAAGCAAGTTGCTGTGAGGAGAAGAGTTGCCCAACTCTGCTTTTAGCAGATTTCCTGGGAAGGGAGAATGTGGGACCCCCCCATGGCTCCCACGCTGCTCATCAGCTCATTGCTCTGTTGCAAAGGGTTTTGCACTGGCCCAGACTGGTGTTGGTGGGAGCAGCTTTGTGTCTCCTAAGGACTCAATCTGTGAAGCCCCAGGGCTCCAGCAAACGTGGCTGGGGGTGATTGGGGAACAGGCACACATGGTTGCTCAGAGCTGGACTTCCTAAGGAAATGTGGATTAAGCAACCAGCTAAACTGAGACGGGCAACCAGCAGGGAACAGAGAGAGAATCTTGGGGCGACAGCCAGGGGCAGAGAGGAGGAGGTTGGCGTAAAGTCGCTGTAATTCCCAAGTTTTTCCTGGTTTGGTGGGGTTGGGCACCTCTAGCAACGGGCTACCTGTGAGTGCAGCTGCCCACAGCCCCATCAGTCCCTTGCTGCCCACAGCTCTGTCCCCAGCTCTCTGCCCACAGCACTGTCAATGCACAGATGTGCTGGACAGACATGGGCAGTGCCATCAGGGCACAGATGTGGGGCCAACCCCACTGAGAGACCCTGTGTCACCCCTGGAGAGCAGCTCTTCTTTCCTCTGATGACAGATGAGGTGGTGTCACTGCTGGCCAGGCGATGCCAGGCGCTCTCTGTGTTTCATTTCCTGAAACCTCGCATGCAAGGAGCCTTGGGCTGAGCCACAGGATGGGGCTGGCAAGGGAACAGTGTTTGGTGATCCTGCCACATCAGGAAGCGACACCAGGGGACATTTACCACCTGGGCAGGGCTTGGTGCAGCATTTACAACTTCACAGGAAAACTGTGTTTTGTTTGCTGTGACCTGCTTTGCAGCAGCATTTACAGCTTCACGGGAAAACTGTGTTTTGTTTGCTGTGACCTGCTTTGCAGCAGGGTGGGGGCCACATCTTGCCCTGCCATGTGTCCCACAGGGGTGTCCAGCCCTGGGCAGTCACTTCTGCCAGGAAGGGATGTAGTGACAGCGGCAGAGGCTGTGCTGGAGGCAGATTTAGGGAAAGACTGCCATGGTGTTGCCCAGCTCAGAATCTCCTGCAGCCCCGAAGGTGTAGGGAAGATGCCCAGTGTAACCAGTATAACCCAGTATAGTCTTCTGCCTTGGGAGACTGGGGCTCTCAGCTGGGATGACAGCAATGCTGAATTTCTCCTCCCACCTCCATGCCCTTGCCCTCTGTCCCGGGATGCTGACGGGGCTGCGAGCCAAAAAGCTCTGTCCCCAAGAGGTCCCCGTAAGGTCCAGCAGCCACAGGCAGTGCCTGGCGTTGCCCCATTCTCCTCCCTGCCCATCAGCCAGGTGCCAGGTGCCAGGTTGACATGCCGGGCTGGTGTCACGTGCTGCCTCTGCCGTGGCCAGTGGGACTGATGCCCACGGCGATGGGGACAAAATCCAGATCGCTCCTTTTTTAGTGCCGGGAATGCTCCGCGCCGCCGGCAGCGCTACCCGAAATGGTTGCTCGCCCATGTTTATAGTGTCCCCGAGTCAGAGTTAATCCAGCGGCAGTTTGTTTATGCTTTAGGTTAAATAGTGTCAGGAGCCCGCCCTAATGGCTGAGTGATGGGCTGGGAAAGGCAGGGAGAGGCCTGTTCCGGCCACAGCAGTGTCCCTACCCCTGCTCCTGCAGCCCTCTTGTCCACATGGCCACGGCTCCACATTCCCTTTGCTGGGTGGGGAATGGTGGCCCTGGATGTGCTCTGTGTCCAGACACAGCTCCGTGTTGGACTTGGAGGAATTGATTTTTGGAGAGTGCCTTTGCAGTGGATCAGGAGGATTTGGGTGGGTCACTGAGCCCAGCAAGCTGCAGAACAGCAGGGCTTTAATCCCAAATTGCTGATGGCCATCCTGCCTTCACACACTCTCAGCAACAAAACATGTCTCCCAATCCCCAAAATGCATCATCCCAGGGCTTGCAGCTACCACATGCCTTAGGCAAAGGGTGGGAAAGTTCAGCAACACATCCCTCATCCAGCTGGAGGAAATTTGGCAAATGACCCCCCCCAGGTGAGACTTGGCAGAAAAAGCCCCAGTCCCCAGCAGTGTGCTGGGAATTGGGCTTTTCTGGAGGAGGGTTGGTGGTTGTGCTTACCCTACCACTTCCCTCTCCAGGTGGGTGTTCCTCTACGAGAAGGGTTACCAGTCTCAGGACAGCATTGTCAGCTCGGTCTCGGTGAAGCTGAAAGGGCTGACTCTGACCAACGAGAGTGTCCTGGGCCCTCACATCTGGGATGTGGTGGACTATGTTTTCCCACCCCAGGTAAGGAGGCAGAGTGGGTGAGTTGCTTTTGTCCCAGTGGCTGCTTTTCCCCACGTGCTAGGGTGCAGGTGGGTCCTCAGTGTAGGCTTTCTGTGGGGCTGCCCATGGCATGGTGTCCCTGGGGTGGAAAGCAGGTTGCTCCTGCCACAAACCTCTGCCCCATATATCACCCCTGGGGAGAATTTGGTGCTTGGGACCCACCATGGTGGATGGGGCACATTAGAGGCTGCCTCTGCAAAGTCCAAGGCTCCTCCAGACCATCTCAGACAGCAAGGGGGGTCCTCTACTATCCTGAGGCTGGTGGCACTACATGTCCTCAGGGACACCACCAGCTTCCTGAGCTGCAGCAGAGAGGGTGGAGGACCTAAAGTTTGGGAGAAAGGTGCCATCTACCTGGATGTGGGTTGGGTGCCCCACACCTCGCCCCGGGGACAGGCTCCTCACAGAGGAGACACTGTGCTGGCTGTGAGCTCGTTGGCTGTGTCTCCACAGGGGGACAACTCATTCGTGGTGATGACCAACTTCATTGTCACCCCTGGACAGAAACAAGGAACCTGCCCAGAGGTAAACACAGCTTCCTTCAGTGGGCTCAGCTTCTGTAATTCAGGGTAGTGGCACTGGGAGGTTTAGTAAAACCCTAAGCCTGACCCCATATTACTATTCCTGACTTGTGTGTTCTATGTGAAGGCTTTTATTCTGCTGAAAACCAGGCAGCATCCATTTAAGTTTTCTTCCCTCTGAGATGATGAAGAAGAGCAGACTTGAGACTTAAATAAAAGCATCTGCCTGAAGTTGAAAAGCCAAATTTCCCCCCCTCCTTTTCTTGTTTAATCTGAACATCCTTGGTTGGGAAGGATGGACAAGACTCTGCCTGCAGCTGAGCAGTTTATCCCTCAAGGGAGGTGCTGCCTGGTGAGGCAGGAGGGACAGAGGGACCAAAGTTGCAGGGTGGGATGCTGAGAGGTGGCTGCTTTCTCCAAACAGCTGCCAGATGCTGGGCTCTGCACGCGAGACAATGACTGTGCCCAAGGGAAATACAGCCGGCAGGGACAAGGTACGGCCTGAGGCTCCGGCACCGGGACTTGTGGTGACACACCGAGCAGAGCTGCCTGGGTGGGGTGTCTGGCAGGGGAACATCATGGCTGGGCTGTCCAGTGGGGGACCTGCTTTAGACCACTGGCTAACAAGATTTGGGGAAAGCCTTGGATGTGCTGGGTGAATGTCCCACCTCGGCTGGTCCTGCTTTCCTCTTCTGAAAGACACCTGAGCTGCAAAAAGCTCTGCCAGCAATAGGTTAATCCAGACTAAACCATTTCCCCCAGACTGCTGTCCTCTGTCTGCTTGGCATGTTCTGAGATATGTTTTAGCACGAGAAAGGCCCAGCTGCTCCCCTGTACAGCAGTGCAAGAGAAACCACTGCCCTGAGCTGAGACCACAATTAATTACCCTTTTTACAAGGGGGTACCAAAGCCCTGAGCGTTTAGTGCCTTGGATACCTTTGGCAGAGCTGAAACCCAAACCAGATCCCATCCACCCCAGTGTGAGGCTGGGATTTCCCAGCATCCAGGGGTGTGAGCAGCTATTTCTCTTCCACACAGGGCTCATGACAGGCAAGTGTGTGCCCTTCAACAGCTCGGTGAAGACCTGTGAGATCTTTGGCTGGTGCCCTGTTGAAGTTGATGAGCATGTTCCCAGGTGAGCAGTCCTGTTGTTGCCCTCTTTCCCACCCCATCAGCACTTGATGTGGGGCACAGCAAGCCCAGGCTCTGTGGGATGTGGCCAGGACAGCCTGGGGAGTGAAAGACCAGAAAGGGAAGGGATGAGATCACCATTTCTCTGGGTCCTGCTTGTCCCAGTTTAAAGCTGAATCTCCACCAAATGTGGCTTTCCATTCAGGCTAGAGAGCCAAGTGATGTCAATATTTGTGTTTTTCAGCCCTGCCCTGTTGTCAGAAGCAGAGAAGTTCACCTTGTTCATCAAGAACAGCATCACTTTCCCCAAGTTCAAGGTGTCCAGGTAAAGGGAGGTTTGGGGGAATGGTTTCTGTTTGGTTCCTCCAGCTGTGTCCCTCAGGGGAAACCATCTGTGTGGCTGGATGCTTTATACAAAGGATGGTGTCGCTCATCAACAAGCCCAGGACTACTCTAACTGCTGCACTGATCCTCAGATTAGCTCATAGGAACTAAGACATTTCCATCCCAAATCTGTGCCACCTCAGCTGCCAGCTGTATTTACCAGAAAGAAGGTTTCTGGAACTAACATCTCCTGAGTTACCCCCACACGATGCACATGAAAATACAGTTTCTCTGATTCTTCATTTTTCTCCTCACTGAAGAAAACATTAAAATAACTATCTGGCACCGTGGCTGTGAGCAGCCAGGACAAGAGTGGTGCCAAAAAGGAGCAAAAGTCCCTCTTAACAATACAGTTCCCACCTGTTTCTGTGAGGGGTTGTGGGGTCAGCTCGTTCCAGGCAGCGCTGGGAACAGTGCTGCTGGCTGAAGGAGCACTTGTAAGAGGCTTTGTGATGGCACTGACTGTATGTGATTTGGAACAAACTAACAGAAGCTATTTGTGCTGAGGACGGCGGATTCTTCTCTCTAAGCTGACCGTGTCCCAAGGTTAAATGTCCTGGCAGCCAGGACGTTTGGAAAAGCCTTGGGCTGAGCTCATGCTGCTCCCAGAGAGGTGGCTGGGAGTGGGGATCCCTTCCCCCCAGCAGCAAAGAGAGGTGTCCTGAGCCAGAGCAGGCTGGGGGGGACGCAGTGAGGGGAGCTGGTTCTCAGTGAGGGTTACTGGACTGGCTGCTGGGGCAGGGGCTGTACCAGACCCCGCTGGGTCACGGGGAAACTTCCTGCCTTTGATCACCCCTGACAATGAACTGCTGAGCGACGATGGGATGTGGTTGAGCAAGACACAAGTCTTACAAAATCGTCTGGGGCTGGGAGGTTCAGGGAAAGGCTATTTTTAAGTGAAAGAGCAGAGCAGGGTGGAAGGCAAGAGGTTTTCCTTTTCATCCTTTCCAGAGGAGATAACAAACTCCAGCTAAATGTAGAAGTTGTGGGATACACTTGCTATCCACAAGCTGTCCCAGGTGAGAATTGTTGGTGCATGGAGCAATTGCCTGTCAGAGCCCATGGACAAGCTGGCATGGGAATGGGGAGAGGGCCATTGGTTGGACAAGGGACCTCCAGAGGTCCTTTCCCACTCAAATTATTGGATTATTCAGATTCCTTGTCACTTTCTTTTTGTTCACAGGCGCAACTTGGTTGAGAGCGTTACCAAACAGCACCTGAAGAAATGCACCTATAACAAAGCCACCGACTCCTTGTGCCCTGTGTTTGAACTGGGATACATAGTGAAGGAATCGGGTCAGAATTTTACCTTCCTGGCTGTTAAGGTACTTGGATTCCAAATGATGTTCCTTGCTGAAGTGGGGAGGGGGACACTGGCAGAGCAATCATCCCCAGCTGTTGAGATGATTTTCTGTTATCTCAAGAACTCTTGAGAAAACATAAGTGTCAGAATTAGCTGTTAAAGATTATGAATCTCCTTGGACATGGCCTAATATTTATGCCTTCCTTGGAAACTCTTGACAAGATTTGACCCGCTGGCAGTAAATCCAGGGTTCAGTTTGGTTTAATTTGTGCAATGAATAACTAGAGCTCTGTGGCCAAATCCCATCCAATTGAGCTTGGAAATCCCAGCTGGATAGTCAAATATCGGTCATTGCACAGTGCAAACTGCAGCCTCTCCCCAGGCTCTGAAATGCAGCTTTGCCCAGCACTTCTCAGGCTGATGTGCAAGAGGATCTGCTATTTCTGGGCTGCAGAGCCTTATGAGAACTTTGCCAGGCATTGAATAAAACCAGAGGCTTGCATATATGAACATATATTGCATATATTGGAACACGTATGCACACAGAGAAGATGTTGCTGCCCCATCCCTGGAACTGTTCAAGGCCAGGTTGGACAGGGCTTGGAGCAACCTGGGCTAGTGGAAAGTGTCCCTGCCCATGGCAGGGGGCAGAACCAGATGGTCCTTGTTGCCCCTTCCAACACAAACCATTCTATAATCCTATATACTGAAGGTGCAGAAATGTGAGCCTCTGGGACACAGCTAGTTACAGCCTGGAGCGAGCTCAGGACTGACTGCTTCATTTCCTGAGCAATCCCCTGGGCAGAATCAGGCAATCTGCACTCAGGGCAGAAGCAAGAGCCCTCACAAAGGCACAAAGCTGAGGCTGTCCAGGAGGGCTGAAGCAGCGGTGAGGTCTGTGCACCTGGAGAGCCAGGACACCTCACAGCACTGAGATAGAGTGTTAATGAGGAGGGAAAGCATTTTTCTGTGTGGGCCAGGTCCAAGATAGGGCAACCTGGTGACTCCCCTCTCTGCTGCAGGGTGGAGTGGTGGGCATCACCATAGACTGGAACTGCGACCTTGACTGGCCTCTCCGGTACTGCAAACCCATTTACCAGTTCCATGGCCTTTACAATGATGACAGTAACGTTTCACCAGGCTTCAACTTCAGGTAAGGAAACACCTGTTAATTCTCCAGCATAATTCAGAGGTGACAGCTCTCAGGTTCCCACAGCACTCGGGGGATGGTGGAAGGTCAGGGGCTGTTCTCCAAAATACTCTCTACCTTTGCAGTACCAGACAGCAGTGCTCTTTTTAAAACAGCATGAGAGAAGTGATGGCACAGCCCTTGGCCTCAAAATTACCCCATTTCCTTTCCCTACACATCTACCCCTCCCTTGCAGACTCTCCTGCTCGGCTGAGCTCTTGGGAAGCCCCCTGAAAGCCTGGAGAGGGTGCAGTGTCATCCCCCGTGTTCCCACACTTCAAAACGCTCTCTAACCTCTGCTCTGTGTGACAATCACTAGTGCTGCACCAATATCTGCTGTCAGCAGCACTTGGGGACATCAGGTCAAACAGCAGGAGTGGGAACCCCCCAACTTGCAGGTGGGGAAACGGAGGCACAGAGAGGAGAGGTGCCAACAGCCCAGCTCCTTCAGGGGGTTTAAGGACAAGGTCAGGAGCAGGCCTGTGATAGTACATTCTCAGATCTTTGCTGCTGGCTTGCAGGGGGCTGTTAGACACCCTGACAGGCCATTAACGCTCAGCATCCAATTGCACAGATATGCCAAGTACTACAGAGAAGATGGGATGGAAAAAAGGACCCTCTACAAGGTGTTTGGGATCCGGTTCGACATTTTGGTGAATGGCAAGGTAAGGGTGGCCAAGCACCAGGATCCCCCCTGGATCCCCAGGAGAGCAGTGCCATGGCCTTGGAAAGGTACCAGATCTGCAAGGCAGCACTGGGGTCCTGTGGGGCCGGGAAAACCAGTGTGAGGGGTTTTCCTTGGGTGCTGGCCCACCCACAGGAACCCTTGGGAAGTACCAGGGAAGGGAATATAAGAGGAAAAGCCTGTTTTACAGGGCACATCGATCAGCTGCAGTTTGCTCAGTGGTTTTGTCCAAAAAACATCATGACTGGGGGGCAGGGGGGGAAACTGTGGAAAGTCAAAACCTTTTACTGATATTTCCAAAACCTGGACATTTTGCTTTTTTTTGTTGTTGTTTTTTGTCTTGTCTCTTTCCTCCCAGTAGAAGAGAAGGCTTTCCTCACTGTGTTCCCACTGGGAATATTTACAGGGTATACTTTTTTGGTTTTTTTTTTTCTTTTGTTTGGGTTGGGTTGGGTTTTTTTAATTAAAAATACAGGAAGCAAAGTAATTTCATTTTATTTCAGCCTGAAACCAACAATATTTTTCTGTTTGACCAGCTCTGGCCCAGCTCCTGTTTCTCCCTGTGCTGTGGTTGTACTTTGGGTTGCTGCAAGGCACTTTTGCTGAGCCCCACCTACAGCTACAGCACCTTTCTCCCCCTCCCAACGCTGACTGTAACTTATCACCTATTTTCTTTGACTTTATTCAGGCAGGCAAATTTGACATCATCCCAACCATGACCACAATTGGCTCTGGAATTGGTATTTTTGGAGTGGTAAGTTCAGATATTTCCAACCTCTATATGGAGACTCTCAAATTATTCTTCTTGCCTGTGACACCCGTGGGAAGTGTCCCTGAGCTGCAGTGAAATACTGGCTCCTGCTCAGGGAACCAGGGGATGGGCAAAGTGGGAAAGGACGTGCTCTCCTGCCTCACTAGCTTAGGAAAATAGATTCCTGCCAGCTGATGAGGGGAAAGCTGGCTCTCCTGACAGGGCCATGTCTTGTATTCCGATAGCTTCAAGTTAGAACTGGTGTTGAGGGAGCTTTGGAGGTGATGGGCAGTATTTTGTGCAGCATGGAAAACCAGCATCCTGTTTGGTTATGGTTGTTATAGGCTGGGCATGACCCCAAGGGTGTTGTGCTCTGCACTTACCCAAAGTGGAAACACTTCATTTCTGTTGACTTAAGTCACTCAGTGTTGAACCCAGCACACTTCACTTCTGTCCTAAAGGGACAGCTGGGGACCCTACGCTCTTTAGCAACTGCCATGTTGTGGATTGAAGCACAAGTGACCCTAAATTGTGGGGCAAACTGGGAGCACACAATGGTCCAGGTGAGCTTGGAGAGCAGCTCGAACCCTAACTGTGCTTTGATTTAAGGCCTCTGTCCTCTGTGACCTGCTCCTGCTGCATTTCCTGCAAGGACGGGACTATTACAAGCAGAAGAAATTCAAATATGCAGAACCGGAGCCCGTAAGTAACAGCGAGTCCCTGCCCTGCCGAGGCTCTGGCGGGGGTGTGAGTGTGGCTGTGTGCATGAGTAATGATGCTGTAACACAAACATCCATGTTGAGGAGCAACCAGGCGCCTTCCCGAGCCCTTGGGACTGTCGGAGACTGGGATCCATGAATCTCCTCTCCAGAATTACTGAGATCCTGTGTGACTCACTGTTAATAGCTTTATTCTCTCCCTTTAACCCCAGATATTCTGATATCTGGCAATGCTTGCATTGCTTTAAGGGAAGCAGGGGCAGACCAGTGCTTTAGCAAACTGGAAAATGTCCCCTTCTCTGCTCTCCGAGAACATCTCCATGACCGTGGAATGTTTTATGGTCTTTCATAGGACACAGACACAGCTCCCCTCAAATTCATCTGAAAATATGCTTATACAGTGGGGTTTAGAAGTTGCTGCCCAGCCACACTTTCCCCTGGCATTAGAAAGGAGCAGGTCTGTAAAAGAATCCTTGTTTTCTCTCATTTAACCCCCAGTTGAAGTCACACAAGAAGGAAAAGGAGCCGGACAACACGCAGTGAGAGGTGAGTGGTGTTTCCCCAGCCCTGCTGGGCTGTGGCTGCCAGGGGGGAGGGCTTTGGGTCTCAGGGCTATGCCAAGGCCCCCAGGAAGACAGGAGGGCAACAGGGAAGGCATGGAGGAGATTTGAGCTGAGAACAATAATGTCTAAACCAGAGTCAGCGTTTCCCAGCATAAGTAATTGCTGAGGGCAGCACTGGGTGTGGGGTGTGGGACTGACATCACATCTTTGATGGCAGCATTGCTTGAAGAGGGGTAGTGGGGTGCAAGGCATCAGAAATCACTGTGCACCTCTCTCTCTTGGCAGAATCCGCACTGACCGACAAACCTGCACCCTCTTCCTCCTCCTCCTCTCCTAAAACACGGTCACCACCCCCTATCACCACCCTGTGCCAGCCCCAAGGCCAGCAGGAGCAGTGTCCAACACCGGCTCACAGGAAGGTGGTGCCCTGCAGCCAGGGCAGGGGCCGGCCGGCCCGGCACCCAGCCCTGGGGGGCACAGGGATGCTGTGGGTGGGCTAAACTAAGGGACTCATGGGGTCCTCTGCCAGCCCTGCTGCAAGGCACCAGGGTCTGCTGCCATTGCAGACCCTTCCAAAGGGCTCCCACAGCATCCTGCCTGGTGTCCCAAAACCATGCCAGGGCACCCCTCACCTAAAACCCCTGAGGAGACCACTGCTGCCTCTCCCTTCCCAGCGGCACCTTTGGACAGCTTCAAATTGAGGAGAAGGAGAGGGAAGGAGAGCTGGCAGGAGCCATGACCAGTCCCTCAGCATGGGAGAAAAACGGTTATTTTGTAAGGATGTATTTTGTTTAAAAAAAAAAATAAATAAACCTTTAGTTTTTCTACTACATCCCTGGGCAGTGCCCACGCTCGCCCCAGGGTGTGGGGTTTGCAGTGCTTTCATCACTGGGGGGTTTGTGCATGCAAGGCAATCCCATAAATCATGCTGGAGTGTGGGGCTCAGTGCTGGCTCCTCCAGCCTCTGCCTTCCCCTCTCCAGGGCCCCTGGGCCTCTGGCCACGAGCAGGGACTGTTATCAGTGTTGTCACTTTGGTTTCCTCCTCAGACAGCCTGATTTGGGGGGAGTGCTGGCTCACAGCCTGGCATCCAGATCCTCTGCCCTGTGCCAGCTCTACCTCAGCTGCCCTTGCTGGTCAGTGTTAGCCTGTCAGGACTGACCTGCTCAGCAGGAGCCTCACAGAACAGCTCTTTGCACCCAGGAACGAAACTTTTCCTCTCTGCTGGAAGATTTGCACCATTCAGCATGTGCAGCTGGACATCATGGACTGTGCTCAGACCCCATGTCCCTGCAAGCAGCCTCTCTCTGAATGAATGTCATTTTGTACCTCCTGGGGGAAATTTTGCCTTGGACACTTCAAAAGTGGACTCCAACTGCACTGTGAGAGTCAGTGGAGAGGCTGCAGGGGTTGGTGGGGCTGGGCCTGCAACGCTGCTGACAGCAGTGGGGAGTGTGAGCCAGAGCCTGCGGGATGGACACACCGCTGCAGGATCGTAGGGACACAGGAATGTGCCACAAGCAGATGCAGGTGATATTTGGTCATAAGTTCAACAAGCACTTCAAGCCATACATTCCCCGAGGGCAGATCATTTGCTCTTAGCAGGATGCCTCAGCTTTCTTAGGCAGGGTGGATTTTTGTAAGTTATCCATGGTTAAGTTTTTCACCCTTTCTCATGCTGCTGTCCTGCGTAAGAGGGGCCAGGTGCTTACACTTTAGATGCAGAGTGGGTAAGGGAAAGCTCCCTGCTCTCTGGAGGAGTTGGTGCCTGTTCAGCGAGCACTGGGGGCGTGGGGCTGGGGGTTTCCCCACGCACGGGGGCTCTCCTGCAGCGCCCATCGAGGCCGAGCACTGTGCACCATCCCGGCTGGTGGAGCTCCCCAGCAAGCTGCCGCCAGCAGAGGGGACTGCGAGACCATTTACCACAGACACGCCTGCGGAAAATCCTGTTGCCAGCGACAGCGAAGCGAGTGTTCAGGTAACCTTTCACACCCACTTAAACTGGGTCAATCTCCGGTCAAAACCTAAAATAACCAGTGCGAGGTAGAGCAGGGGGGGTGTTTCTGCCTCCTTAGTCTTTCAAGCTGCTTGCAATGCAAAGCGACTATTCTTCCTTAGGAAGAATTAAAAGGCAGAATAGGAAATCAGGAAAAATGCTATTTGTAAATGATCCCGTGTAGTCGCAATCCAAAACAACTGAGCTGGGATCCCTAAAAGTCCCAAGACTGCTTTAAAAATCATGTCAGGGATTACTTGTATTTCCATACTTGTTTTTTAAAAGGCACAGTCTTTCAGAATACTTTTCTTTGCTTTTCATTCACCATTTCTGCAACCAGCAGAATGAGGGAGATATTGTGATTTTATTTTTTTTTTTTTTAATTCTTTCATCCAAACAAGCTCCTCCTCTAAGCCAGGACCCCCACGCCCTGTGGTTCCCAAGTTGGACCAAACAGAGCGATGGCTGGCTGGAGGAAACTGAGAAGTCTCCAGTTTTAACATACACTGGTCCCCTCTGCTGTATGAAGCATGAAAAGGCAGGGAAAACCCATGGTAATTGTTTAGGTCCTTCTGTTTTTTGCCAGAAGGGTGGAGAGCAAGGAAGAAGGGCTGGTCTGCTCAGCTCTGTGATGTAGATGCTCTATTTCAGCACTGTGGCTCCCAGCGCCTTCCAGTTGGCCAAAATTCATGCCAAATTACTGAATCAGGGATAGGACACCACAGTTAAAATCTGTAGAGCTAAAGACTCTCAAATGGAAATGCTGGCAGGTTAAGACTCCCTGCAGTGTCCTGGTGTTGCTACTGAGCTGCTTTCAGCGCGAGTCCCTGGGGGAGGTGTGGATGACCTGTGGGACTGTACTCCCATCCTCTTGGTTTGACCTCAGCTTGCTCTGTGGGTCAGGGCAGAATTTACTGTGCTTTGCCAGAAGAATTTCCTTGTGTTGCATCCAGAAAATGACTGTGTTCGAAGTTGTAAAGATGCAGGCAGTGTATCCTGCTGCTCTCTGACCTCTGAGCAGCAAGGCAAAGTGTCCCAGGATCCCAAAGGGATTTGGACGTCGTGTGAAGCCCCCTCAATGACAGGTTGCTGTGCTACTTTCTGTTTATGCTGTGGGCAGCTCAGGATTGGGTGGTTTGTGGGGGTTATTTTAAGTCCTCATTTCATTGCATTTTGGCTTTTAAGCAGTTAATGACTAATAGAAAAATGCTAATAGAAAAGGACCCTTCAGTAATTCAAACACTGCCCCAGAAAACACACAAGAAAGAATATCTATTCTCCAGCTAATCCCTGATCTTTACAATCAGCGCTAACAAGCCCTTGTATGTGATGGTGTCAGTGCTCTAAGGACTCTTACACTGATCATGGGTGTTAGATGACGAGAGTGAGCTCTGAGTGCAGTGTGATTACTCCCACTTTATAGAAAAGAAAACCAAGATACAAGCAAATAATTTCAGAACGTGGATCTAAATGCAGTGAGAATTTTCTGCCTTTGACCAGTTATTGTTATCTGTGAAGGTTACCAGGTTCAACCTTGTACAAATACATCTTTTCACTTCCCTCAGGCACGGTTATTTTGAAAGAAATCAAATAGCACGGATATTCCAGAAGAGTAATTGCAGAAAAACTTATTTGGCAGTAATTATGCTGGTTAGTGATGCTGCAGGGATGAGGAATTATATTTCAACCTCTGCAGAGCTGGCGACATTTAATCATTATGTTTGCGCCCAATTCCCAGCACAATGAGGCCCTGATTTCCACCTGGTGCTTCCAGACACTGTAACAAGGCAAATTAAATGAATAACACTCAAAAAGGAGATAGCTCCTTCCCTGTGCAACCACTCCTGTCTCTAACCCCACTCATTCTTCCCCTGGCACAGCAGACTCCCTGTTATTTTTAACCCAGTCCTTCACTTAGAACATTCTTGGATTTTTCCCTAAAAAAGCACCTGCCTTTCTGGTTACACTAACTCCCTTTCTTTTTTTTTGATGTGGAAGCATGATTTCAGATGAATTGTCTGGCTGACACACAGTGAAGGACTGGCAGGAACACACATGTTCTCCCAGCTCTGAAGGATGCTTTTAGTCCCTTCTGTCCCACAGTGGGGCATCCTTGGGTCAGACTGTGCTGGGTGGCACAAGGAACTTCTGGGCCATTTGAACACATCTGGAGCTCAGCCTGCAGCCACCTTCCCGGGGCCAGTGTGGTTCTTACAGCTCATTTTCGCTGCTGCCAGCTCTGTACTAATTATGCCAGGCTATATTCTTTTGCTTTCTTTGGTGAAGTGCTCTCTCCTTCTGTTATCTGTTTCTAATTGCTTTATTGCTCTATTTTAGAAAGTGTAAAGTCTGAAGTGTCCAAGTGGGTTCTAAATACAGCGACAACTCAGTCAACTGATGGGCTCTTGAGCAAGGGTGAATGAGGATCCCTTCAGTTGACAGGGCTCTGCCTACCAAGCACAGATCCTGCTCAGCTTTATGGCACCATAAAGAGATTCCTTAAACCAAAGGATGGCTTCAACTCTCTTTTTATCTAAACATACTTGTGAAATGACTGGGGAAATGTAAGCTCTTTCCCTTATGACTGTAACTCAAGGACAGGTTCAATAAACACTTTCCCAGTCATTGCACCCAGAAAACATGAAAAATCAGTTACCAACCAACGACATCCAATCATTATTGAACAGAAACATCAAAGTCTTATTTTAACACTGTTATAGCCACCATGGGCTAAGCAGCAGACAGACATTATTTGGGACTTCTATTGAACTGGTCATGGCTGCTCTGCAGTGTATTATGAAAGGGGAAGCTGAGACACATGGTTTGTTTTGTTTTCTGGAAGAAACAGCAGCTTAGCTAACCAGGTTATTTCATTAGGTCAGGTGCTGGCAGTCTTTGCCAGAGGGGATTGTTTCAAACCTCAATGCCGGTGCTAAAGGTGTGCTTCAGACATCACTGGTGATTTGAACTGTCTGGTGCTGAAGG